GTGTGTGACATCAACAACGCATTCCCCAAGGGAGGGGTGTGGTGGGGGGGCAGCTACATGGTCACTTCTCCGAGGAGGGTTTACTGACGGCTCTCCCTCTCTGCCACTGCTGAATCACATGCGACGCCACCACAAGCATCCCCCCCGGCCTCCCCACCACCTATACTGGTGGGGAGGCGGTACAGCGAGCGGCTCCCAAGTCAGAATCAGAATATGTATTTATACTGGAGGAATCTGATGAGCCATGAAGCTCTTCTTCACGAATGCCCAGTCGGGGCACGGGGTAAGAACGTTACAACAACAGTACAAAAACATGATAGGAGTGCAAAGTACAAGAAAGGTAAACAAATCACCCAAACACATTCCAATAAAACTAAACCACCCCCTTCCAAACTCTGGCTGGGGTCCAGGTTAGGGCTAGCCTATCATTTCTCCTTCCAGGGCACTAAAATTAGTACCACTTTGTGGGAGAAGTCAACAGTTGTCGTCCTGTGGACACACTTGCCCCTGCCATAGCAAAGAGGAATTTCCACAACTGGCTCAGCAGGGGTGGCAAAATAGGAAATGAAACAACACCTCAAATGCTCCTTGAGTAAGAAAATCATTGCGACTCTCATTACGATCGAGCACTGCTGTACTGGGTTCGATGTCTGCGATGTCCCGACCCCATGTGTATATTTGCCCCAACGAGTGACGACCTCCCCCCGCTGCCGCTCACAAGGACATGCTCGCTGCTCTTGCGCCACTACTTTCACAAGTCGGGATATGCACTACCTGGCCTGGTATGCAGGAGGTCGTGGGTTCAATCCCGACGCCAGCTGTATGGTTGGAGTTTGCGTGTCTCTCTCTCTCCCCGAGGTCCCGTTGATTTTTCTCCAGGTCAACTGGTTTTTCATTCCACATTTAGAATCAACATGCTATCAATTTCCAAGTGATAAACCACTTCATTGAGCTATCATTTGTGATAGCCAGGTCGATTCTGAAAAAGTACCGATACAGCTGAGTGGGCCTGACCTGGTAAAATAAATAGTGAGGGCCGGTTTGTGGGAAATACAGCTGCAGCCCCATGACGTGATCCCCAGCGGCTCCAAGGCCTCCCACGCCCGGCGAGCAGCAATGCGTCGCAGCCGGCAAAGCGGGAAATCCGTCGAGCGCATGATCAAAAATGTACCGTCGGCACTTTGTGGAGGCATTACGCGGTCATGGATAAACCGTTACCTTAACGAGCGAAGTTGCACTTCGTATGTGTGTACACTAAACTTCTTTTGCACCGCACGTAGCCAACCACAGTAGCGCATCCGAAAGTGTGCGATGCAGTGACCATAGTCTTTGTTCGATGGCTGAGTCAAATGTTGCTGCTGCTGCTGCTCTGAAGATGAGCAGAGTTCACGTTGGGAGCGGCTGTCCACCTTCCGTAGTGGGCCAAGGGTGGCAGCTTTTCAGTGATCGCTGAAGCGATGTTGATTTACAGTTAAAATATATCTATATCCGGTTCTCATTGGTAGGCGTTATAATCCAGACATGCGCGACATCGGCACGACAACAAAAATGCGAGGCTTGCAAGTCAAAGATAAAAAACGCTCGCAACAAGAAAACAAATATTTCTTAACTCAAGCATGAGCATCATTTTTGCGTCGATAGAATCGCTACCATCACGACTGAAAATGGCTACCAAACTGCACAAATCCTCTCAAGTAAACATCTGCGTTTCGATACGTGCCGTATAAGCAGCATGGTACGTATTGAAAAATCTTTACAGCACTCTGACCTCAACACTTGAAATGTGTCATTGACTTAATTGTGTTTCCATTCGTCGCCTATTGATTATACGCACGTAGCGTGCAGTAACATCAGATGCATAACTTTCACCTCCACGCAAATCAAGTGAAATGGCACACTCACAATTACCGATGCACAGGAACAATGGGGAGCTTTGAAAGCACATTTTCCCAAGACGAGACTTCTAAATATTGCAACCCACCCCCACCCCGATATATTATACGAAATGAAAATCATTATAAAGTAATTGTGGAGAAGATAAATAACACAAATAGACAAGCAGACAATCTGTCTCAATAGACAAGCAGACAAGCAGACAAGCCGTCTCCCACTGATTGGAATTATTGACATCTAGAAGGCCGTGTGGCTGATGGGTTGTGGAAGAAATATATTTTTTACGCGAAGGAGACGCACTGCCTGCTTATTTATTATTACATATGACATCGATATTTTATTCTTTATTAACATGTGTTTGTTGCAATGTAACAATTTTCACGTACCAAGGAATTTCTGCCATATTTAAAATTGCATTACACTATAGCCCTGAATGCATACTAATAAAAGCTCCACTGCTGTTCTGTTCAACAGACGCCATTAAGCCAGGCTTAGGCCCAAGCAAGTCGAATTCAGTCAGAGTTTGAAAGTATTTAATCCCGTGAAATTAAATGTTTACTCAGGGAAGCCTTACTGAGCCTGAAAGAATTTAAACGATACTGCCTCAGCAATAATAATGATAATGATGCAGAGCCAAAACCCCTAGGCTTTAATTATTTATCTCGGTCTGTGTATTATCCAGCCATCCACATTCTATACACCTATAACAATTAAGAGTAGCAATGTTCGGCCCTTTATAAACCTATTGTTGGACAAAGGCCGTCTGATACCACGGTAGTCATAGGCCTTGTCTGATCATACTTCACCTTGCTGGTCCGTGTGGGGTGTGGGTCAGTGAAGGGGCATGCCCCTGATCTGGATCAGATAATCACAAGCCAATGTTGTTCGCCTTGGCTGGGAATTGAACTTGGATTGCTGGCTTCATATCCGCAAATTCCTTTTTGGGTATTTTACCATTGGGGTAACAGAACAGCCTGGTGACAACCCACAGGGCACAGGGAACTTAACATGATGCGCATACGTACTGTGTGTATGTTGACTTCTTTCGCACTATATGTAGCCAAACGTGCCAATCAGAGGTGCGGGTCTGAAACCTACTGGCGAAAACTGCCCTTCACAGGCACCTCATATACAGGCATATGGATGTCACAAGGTCCCAGACTTAGGACCTTACCAGAACTGGGAAATTAATGATTCTCACATTTGCACGATCCACAAAACCCAACTTTCTTAGTAGCTGGGGTAAAGACATGCACCACCACGCAGAGTCGATTTGATTTGAACACGTGACCTGAGCCAGACAAATGGGGCACCACAGAGGTAAGATGTTAACTACCTCGCCTTGTATACAGGAGGTTGTGAGTTCGATCCTGACCCGACCCCGACGCCTGTATATTTGGAGTCTCCATGTTCTCCTCATGGTTGCATCATTTCCTCCAGGTCCTCCGGTTTTTCCCTCCACATTTACAGTATTTTGTTGCTATAATTTTCCACATGATGAGCCACTTCGGTGAGCTATCATTTGGGTTGCTGGCTTCATACGCTTTGGTTTTTTCGGTAAAGTCACGTAGGTTAAAAGAAAACAAATAAATTAAATCACGACGTTTCAGAGGCAACACAAGCTTCCGTCTTCAGGTGAAACCATCACAGCAAAATTGCAAAATTTCTGTGACAATAATAATAAAGTGCAATAAAGACTAACTAAGAACACTTACTGATGAGCCGAAGAGTAGCAGGAAACATGCTCTGTACTCCCCTATGTAGCTTAATGTTGATCTTTAGCTTGCAGTGATAACTACCAACACTGTAGGCTATTCCCTCCAAATTTCATAACTTACTATCCGGGATTTCGGCTATCCGCGAATCGCATCTGGAACTCTACATGACTACTGCATCGACAGAGAAAGTGACGAGAGATAAAGTGATGAGAGAGATAAAGTGTTGAGAGATAAAGTGAAGAGAGATAAAGTGTTGAGAGATAAAGTGATGAGAGATAAAGTGATGAGACAAAGTAATGAGAGATAAAGTGATGAGATAATTGTATTTAATATCTATGTACGTGTTAATTTGAAGCAAATATCATTATCTGCAAAATCTTCCATTCACGAGCATCTCCGGAACGTATCCCTTGTCGCAAATAACGAGGGAGCGCCGTTCGTCACCAATGCGTCGGTGAAAAAACACAGCGGTGATTAAGAGTGTGAAGCGTCCAATGGCAGCCTTCATGGGCAATAACAAACATCCCCCGTGTCGCCTTAACAAACCGTTGGAGCAAGTGCTGTTAGCGAGCAGCACCTATGAAGGCCAGCACCACACACTAGGTGGATGGGTGGCCAGCACCATGCCCGGCCGCCTTTGTCTCCCGAGTGGCGATGTTTACTACACACCGCACCAGGTACTCATCTGAGGCTGACTCGACCTAGGGGAGGCCCAGGACCAGTTCAGATAATCGTCACCGGTGTCCATGGAGTACACACATAGTGACAGCGCCGTTGTGGCCGGGGGTCACGCTAGTCGAGATCAGCACAAGTATAGAAAAAATATGGATATCGTGCAGCAGTTACGTGTGTTTTTAAATGCACACCAACTATCGCTACATGCATATCAATGCTATAACAAACCTAAAAGGTAAACTAATAATAATGTATACAGCCGATAGAGCAATTAACAAGGTCTAGCGACAAACCCTCCTTTCACCGTCACCGGCTCCAGTCGAACTAATTTCAGGTAAAATGTGCAGCACGTGAAAGTTTTTGTGAAAAATAAAATAGGGTGGAATCTTTTTTATATTTGTTCTCCCTAACCAGTGCTATCAAAGCATTTGATGCTGAAACAAGACAGGCGAGGCTACGGAGCCTTTGTGGGAATTCACGCAGATAAACACTATTTGGCAGTGACACTTTTTTTTTAAAGACGGAGTGGCGAGCGTGCACGCGAACGCCCGTGTGTCCGCCGGGTGAAGGGAAGTATGGTCAAGGAAGCAGGGGGGCGGGGGTAGCGGGGGTGGCGGGGGTGGCGGGGCAGCAGCAAGGAGTTTAGGCTGAGATGGGCAGGCGAGGGCAGCGAGTAGCCAGGCGGGTCGCCCGCAAGCAAAGCAAAACTCTCACCTGGAAATCTTGGTCGTCGATGTCGAACCTCTCACGGAGGTTGCGGAACACCAACGGGCAGTACTCCTTGAACTTGAAATGGCTCGGCATGTTCTCTCTGCCGGTGGGAAGAATGGAGGGAGGGAAGGGGACGAGAAGGGGGCAACGAGGGAAGGAAGCAAGACACAATTTTGAAAGGCAAGCCCAGAGAACTGTTTAAAAAAGAAGGAAATGTACGTATTTATTTAATTGTGGATTGTACGCGTAGGCCCTTCCACATCCGGTTATGGATTACAACTACAGTTATTCAAAGTAATCGAGTAACCCTGCCGACTGCCGGTTTGGTTACTCGATGAATCGGATGACACGACAACAATTGGGGGAAAAGAAAAAAAAACGCACCTCTGTTTCCGTGCGTGCTGCTGGACCGGGAGATGGTGGGCTGAACTTGATGACATCACTGGTATTATCATCCACGTCACGCTGGGCGTGGCTTGCGGAGGGTTTCCCGCCTTCGAGCAGCAGGATGTGGAAGCTACCCACAATGCTTAAGATGCCTGAGTAATCGACCACAATAAAGTAGTCGATTACATTTTTTATTCAATAAATCCACAATCATTTGTGTTCACTATCGTATAAACATATTTAAGGAATTGTTTTGAATATTAACACTTTAGCACCTCCGTGCTCAAAACAAACATTGGAAGGTACTGGGAGTCTTCGCTTAACGTCGCTTCGTTCAAAGTTGTTTCGTTGCACCATCGCCAATACAATAGGGAATGTATTCCCTGATAACGTCTCGATGTTTGCTTTGACGTCATCGCTGCCTTGCGACGGGAACTAGTTTGTGTAATTACAACTCGCTTCATCAGGTGACAGCCAGATTTGTGGAGTCCACCTTTTACATTCCTTATATAGAGGCGTAGATGTGGTGACCACGCTTCTGCGCTCTTGCGCAAAGTGGGGGGGGGGGGGTTAATGAGTCAACGTACATTATGCATGCGCATTATGCGAGCCATTTGATCTTGTCCTTCCTGTCCATTGTGTGTATTAAAATAGCTATACCAACGGTAATCCCTATTGAAGTATGGTACCCTGTATAGGCATGCATTTAAACAATATATTATTTGATGATTCGCTTCCATGCAGCACTTATTCGATAGCTATCCGAACGGTAAAACATTTTTGTATTTCTTTCAATTTCGATAGATTCTCTAAAACAAAACATCAGAATCAGATTTGGCACGGGCATAATATACAGAAATTCATATCTGGTACAAAATATGTACTACCGAAGCTATAAACAGAAGGTGTGTACAGGATTAACTGGACTTGTGGCAAATGTTACGTTGGGCAAATAGGACGAATGATCAGCAGGAGACTAAAAAAACATCAGATAAATATTAAATACTACAACATACAACTGTCAGCAGTAGCAGAACACGCGTGCCAATAACGGCACTCAATTGATTTTGATAATGTTGAAGTTCTGTGCAAAACTAGCTACTACTGGCCAAGACTAATTAGAGAATCTATGGAAATTGAAAGAAATAAAAAAATTTTAACCGTTCGGCAAGGCGTTGGTAGCCACACACGTGGCCTTGAAATACAGCACTGTAGAGGCAGCGAGTGGTTGGCGGATCGCACGAACAAACGTTGCCAAACTCCCTTCGCATGGGCAGCGAAAAGACACCATACCTGACTCGCCAGGAAAAGGCGGTGCAGCAAATGTGGATAAATATCATCTGTCCCAACTATACGAGATAGCGTTGCCTCCACGCAACCGTGAATTTCGTCAAGGTTCAGCTTAATTTACGCATCTCCATGGTTGCGGATTTCGTGAGCGTTGTGTGAGTGGTAGTCGCTAAGCCACCAAATGGCCGTTTCGAATGTTGCTCCAGGTATTGTGATCCATCGTCTCTAAGCCAGGCCTCCTGGATAAGCGTGGTCCACAGGTTGAGTGTGGGCATCCGCCCCTTGAGCGACAAGGTTTTTGTTCCACATCCGATTTGGACGCTCAACCGCAGGGAAAATGTGACCAGACGGTGGTGTTGGGCGAGGTCTTTTACGTTGGGGAGACCAGTGCGGTGGGATGTCACGGTGACGTCCGCGATGATATCAGACCACCTGATCCCAAGGATGCACCGTTAACGGCGCACGTGGAAAGTCTCTAGATGCTTGGTGTCCGACGAGAGTGGTGTCCGGCTCTCTGAGCAACAGAGCACGACTGGCAGGAAGACGCAAGCCTTGTAGATGCGTAGCTTAGTTTTTGAAGCCGAGTCCCCAGAGTCACCAGACGTTGTTGAGAGAGAGGCGAAGAGGGAGGAGGCCAAGCTGATCCTTAACGTTTCAGATTTTTTAATTATTTCAGCAGGAAGGGCTCAAAGGGGCATCCATTTCACGGGCCTCCTGTGAAGGTACAGATCTCGGCGTCGCATGAACTGGAGGAGCACGGCAGCGTGAAGCCCAGGTGTACACATTTTTTGTCGACCCCCTCCATGGTCTTGTTCCCAACGCGCTGGAGCGTGGTGGCTGTCGGACCCCAGCGACTGGTTTCTGCACGTCCGTGTCCCGGGTGTCGACAGATGGGAGCCCAAAAGACCTCAGTGGTCTCTTTGTGTGATGCGGTGGCGTAAATGACGCGCTTGCGAGGGATTTGGCTCTCGAACGGTGGGCTTTACTACCAAAAAAATTTGGCAGCCAGCACGCCCCAAAGCCCCACGGTGGGAATAGGCTATTCCTTTTTCACCTCCGTCACTTTTAAATAAGTTAAATTAGCGCTTTTTTGGAGATTTTTATTAAAATATTTAGTCAGTTAAAATTTTATTTATTTATTTACCTTCGCCGCGTGCTGGGTCACAACGCAGCCAGCTGCACTTGCGCACAGCGCCCAAGAGGTTACCCCCAACAATCCACACGCACCATCGCCCAAGGTAAGTCGCACACTTTTGTATTATATGCATTTATATAAGACGTAAGTCCCACAAATTAGTCTTATAAGCATTTATCTCATTACACTTTGCACTGCTCACATGGGTTGCCCCTAGCAACGCACACACGATCGCCACAAATTTTCATTCGCCTTACACATGCAGCAAAAACACACCAAACACGTACATTCTTCACTGTGCGATGTCCTCTTCTCCCCACTCCACCCCAATGATACCCCAATGCGAGCACCTACATATCATTATAATAGCGCTTACATCCCATTATTGTCGCGTGGCCGAGGGGACCGGCCCAGCCCCCAGCCTGCGAAGGTCACACCTCGGCGGGCTGGGAAATCTAGGCAAGCCCGGGGACTCTGCACGGGACTAGGCCTCACCACGGCACTCTGTCTGCATAATACTTCGTGCTATAAATTCCATATATACTGCTATACAGTCAGCATGTACTACTGTAGTGCTAACAGATACCACCACTGTTGCTTGCCCTGCTGTCATCATAGCAGCTTACACCATAGTATGCATGCACTGCTGTAGGGAAAGCAGATACCACCACACTATGCACTGCTGTAATCATAGCAGGGACCACCACAGTCACTATGCACTGCTGTAGTGAAAGCAGGTACCAAAGTCCGTATGCACTGCAGTAGCTAAAGCAGCTACCACCACTGTATGCACTGCTGTAATCATACCAGGTATCAGCACATTCAGTATGCACTGCTGTTGTTAAACCATGTACCACCACAGTATGCACTGCTGTTATCTCAGCAGCTACCACCACAGTCAGTATGCACCACTGTACTGATAGCAGGTACCACCACATTCAGTATGCACTGCTGTAGTGAAAGTACATACCACCAGTCAGTATGCACTGCTCTCGTGATACCGGCTACCACCACTGTCAGTATGCACTGCCTTTGTGATAGAAGGTTACACCACAGTCACTAGGCACTGCTGTAATGATACCATAAACCATCACAGTCGGTTTGCACTGCTGTAGTGAAAGCACGTACCACCACAGTCGGTATGCACTGCTGTACTGAGAGCAGGCTGCACCACAGTATGCACTGCTGTAATAATAGCAGATACCACCACATTCAGTATGCACTGCTGTTGCTAAAGCAGGTACCACCACAGTATGCACTGCTGTAATAATAGCAGATACCACCACATTCAGTATGCACTGCTGTTGCTAAAGCAGGTACCACCACAGTATGCACTGCTGTAGTAATAGCAGATACCACCACATTCAGTATGCACTGCTGTTGCTAAAGCAGGTACCACCACAGTATGCACTGCTGTAATAATAGCAGATACCACCACATTCAGTATGCACTGCTGTTGCTAAAGCAGGTACCACCACAGTATGCACTGCTGTAATAATAGCAGATACCACCACATTCAGTATGCACTGCTGTTGCTAAAGCAGGTACCACCACAGTATGCACTGCTGTAATAATAGCAGATACCACCACATTCAGTATGCACTGCTGTTGCTAAAGCAGGTACCACCACAGTATGCACTGCTGTAATAATAGCAGATACCACCACATTCAGTATGCACTGCTGTTGCTAAAGCAGGTACCACCACAGTATGCACTGCTGTAATAATAGCAGATACCACCACATTCAGTATGCACTGCTGTTGCTAAAGCAGGTACCACCACAGTATGCACTGCTGTAATAATAGCAGATACCACCACATTCAGTATGCACTGCTGTTGCTAAAGCAGGTACCACCACAGTATGCACTGCTGTTGCTAAAGCAGGTACCACCACAGTATGCACTGCTGTTGCTAAAGCAGGTACCACCACAGTATGCACTGCTGTTGCTAAAGCAGGTACCACCACAGTATGCACTGCTGTTGCTAAAGCAGGTACCACCACAGTATGCACTGCTGTTGCTAAAGCAGGTACCACCACAGTATGCACTGCTGTTGCTAAAGCAGGTACCACCACAGTATGCACTGCTGTTGCTAAAGCAGGTACCACCACAGTATGCACTGCTGTTGCTAAAGCAGGTACCACCACAGTATGCACTGCTGTTGCTAAAGCAGGTACCACCACAGTATGCACTGCTGTAGTGAAAGCACGTACCACCACAGTATGCACTGCTGTTGCTAAAGCAGGTACCACCACAGTATGCACTGCTGTTGCTAAAGCAGGTACCACC